AACTTCGTGAGAGGGTTGCCAAAGTGTTGACAATTTTGAGAGCTCTTAACTTGACCATCAATGCAGCAAAATGCGAGTTCGATAAAACTAGAATTCGTTTCCTTGGACATGAGCTGGATGAAAACGGATTTAATGTCGATGAAACAAAAATCAAGGACATCCGCCAATTTAGACAGCCCAACACAGTTTCTGAACTCCGAAGTTTTTTGGGATTGGCTTCATTCGTTAGTCCATACATTAAAGGGTTTGCAGATACTGCGAATCCATTATGGGCGGCTACAAGTGCTGATGGATGGATCTGGGGTCAGGAACAAGAAAAGGCTTTCCAACGTTTAAAGGAGCAAATCATGAACTGCACAATATCTCTCGGTTATTTTTCGGAAAAACATCAAACGATTCTATACACGGACGCATCACCGAATGCTCTCGGTGCAGTTCTTGTTCAACAAGAGAACAATCAACCACCTCGAGTGATAAGTTTCGCGTCTAAAGCTTTAACTGCGACCGAAAAAAGATACCCACAACATCAGCGCGAGGCTCTAGCAACAGTGTGGGCGGTAGAGCACTTCGCCTATTTTCTGCTCGGTAGGCCGTTCTTGCTTCGCACAGACGCTCAGGGCTTCACGTTCATCCTGAACAGAACACGTGAAGACTCGAAGCGTGCGCTAACTCGTGCTGATGGCTGGGCTCTTAGGCTCAGCCCATATAAATTTGAGGTAGAATATGTGCGTGGCCGGGAAAATATTGCAGACCCATCGTCAAGACTGTATGAAGGTGAAGACAACCCTTTCGAAGAAGACATTAGCCCTTGGGAAATCGCTTCTCTGGAGGCAAATCAAATACGATTCTTGACTGAAGAAGACATCAAGGAGGCAACTACAAAAGACCGTCAGCTGCAAGAGGTAGTGTCTATGAATTCTAATTGGTATCTTGCCGTTGGTTAAAAAAAAAGCTTATCCATCTCTTTTCTACTCTCATAATAGGTAACGGACGCTCTTGAAACAGGAATTTGGCCCAAGCATCTGAGAAAATTCGAAGTATTAAATAGTGATTTAGTTATGCGTGAAGGAATTTTGGCCAAAACTGGCTGCGCTGTTATCCCGGAGAATCTCCGTCAGAAAACACTTTCGATTGCCCATGAAGGTCACCCATCAAAAGCGAAGTTCAAAAGCATATTGCGAGAGCGCGTATGGTGGCCTGACATGTCGAGAGAGGCGGAGGCATGGGTAGATTCTTGTGCAGTATGTGCAACAAATGGAAAACCCGAAAAACCTACCCCCATGGAGCGAGTTTTTGCACCGAAAACAGTGTGGGAAACAATTGCCGTAGATTTTAATGGACCATATTCTAAATACAGCGGAATTTCTATCCTGGTTATTGTCGACTATCGGTCTAGGTACATTATTGCCAAACCAGTCAAATCTACCAGCTTCGAGAATACTAGGCGAGTTTTGGAAGCAGTGTTCGAAAAAGAAGGTTTTCCGCAAAGTATTAAATCCGACAATGGTCCTCCCTTCAACGGCGATGATTATAAGAAATATTGTACTGAGCGTGGCATAAACGTTATTTTTTCCACTCCATTGCGCCCCCAACAGAATGGATTAGCCGAAAGCTGTATGAAGCTAATCAATAAAGCGATGACCGCTGCAGCTACAAGCGGAACGGATTATGTGGAAGAACTAAACGCTGCGGTCCAAGCGTACAACGCAGCTGCCCATTCTATTATGAAAGTACCACCAGAAGAAGTTTTGATGGGACGAAGGGTAAGACGAGGACTTCCTCTATTACGTCGTGGTAAGGTTACATTTGATGACGAACTTCTGGACATCAGAGACCGTGAATCCAAGCTAAAATCTAAGAAACGAGAAGATAATAAACGTGGAGCTCGTAAGTGCCGAATAAAACCTGGCGATACGGTTGTGGTTGCGAGACACACTCGTGCAAAAGCGGAATCTCGGTTTGATCCTCGGAGATACACTGTAAGGGAAGAACGGAACGGAATGCTGATTCTGATCGACGAGACTGGACAAGTTCTTAAAAGGCATGTGTCACAAACTAGGAGGGTACATGATTGGAGACAGCCGAATAAGTCAGATAGTGCAGGATCTGGAAGAAATAATAGCGATCTGGTTACTACTCAACATCCTCTTATAGGAGCTGAAGATAAGAATGATGACCCTGAGGTAAGTCGACGCTCGGCAAGAGAAAAACGAGCTCCGACCTATCTGAAAAACTACGTCCGCGTTACGGAGCAACAAAGTCCGCGTCCATAAATTGGGAGACTGAAGAACTGAAATAAAAAAACTATTAAAATTTGGTAAACAGTGCAAAATTCATTTCTCCCTGACTCAGATCACAGCTTCTCATGATCCAAAACCTTGGGTCAGTTCTGAACACTTTATTGCGTACTTCAGTGAGTTGAGATGGGCAAATCCTGTTGTATTTTTCTTACAAGGCAGTTTGAAGATTTCTTCCTTACAGGTCATAATCCTTTGCAAGGTGTTCTTCCACCGTTCTGCCGGATTTTCATGGCGTAAAATTTCTGTTCACTTGAAAAACAAACTTCTCCACTCTTGAACAGCGATCAAAAAGGATAAGCAAATTTTGTTAACCCAGATTGCTGCGATCGTTAATTTCGAGAAAATTCTATAATTCTTTGTTGTTTGTTTTTGTTTGTTTGTTCTTGATGACAGGTGATGTCTCAGTGTGAAGAGACCACTGTGCAGAATCCATCTACACGATACGTCAAATGATTGAACCCTTCAGAATTATTATTATTGCTCTTTTTACAAAAGGCGCAAGGTAAAGCAGGAAAACAAAAAAGACACTATTGATCAGTTCACGAAGATTTGCCGCACTCTTCTCTCACCCGTAAGTTTTGACAGTTTTGGGTGGTTTGTTTTGGCTCCCATTCGTTGCTATCTCTTTTACTCAGAAGCAAAATGATAGGGAGCAAAAAGTGAGGTTAGGGACCGTGCACTGATCTATACGAGAGGAATGCAAGTGTGTGGGTAGTTTTAATATTTCCGTATCAGTGAATTTTGAATGTGGAGATATAAGCACTGTGGATTAATTCCACTCGTGGTTAAACATTTTTGGCGGCGTCTGATATGAATCCTTTAAAGCGGTAATATCGTTTGGCAGTTGCTGTGATTACAAATTGATTAAGTCAAATTTATGTGCTTATGAAGTTACTTAGCAAAACTGTTAGGAGTTAGGGTTTAAGAGTCTAAAGTAGTAATAATATTCGAGGGAAATTGCAAAACTAAATATGCCTTATGCGAAACCAATGTCAATGTTATCATTTCCTTATTATTATTATTATTTTAAAGTTCAATCCCCCTCAGCCAGCTTTTTTTTATGGAAAGGAGGGGGATGTGTGGTATAACAAGTTTATAATGGCAACCCTGCCGATAACGCCTGTCATGCGTTACTGAAATATCCCACCTTGTATGCACATACTTGACGCGTCACCATCTTCGGCATCACACGCCCGGTTGCGCAGCACCAAGCATCGTTCGCGGCATTAGCATACTGGCAGCAGGACAGGTAAGAGGCATTCGTTACAGAGCGTGTTGGGTGATTCCTCGGTTCCAGAAGCCACACACATATCATCGAGAAGGCTATCGTCAAGCCAGCGTACTGATCTCTACTTGCTGGTGAACGAGAAGACGGAGCACCGTAGACTGATGAACGTCATCGGCCGTGCAAACGACCCAAACTGTCAACACTGTGCGGTAGGAATCGGGACTTAGCAACATAAGTTTTGCGAGTACCTTCGAGTTGCTGCAGCTTGGGCACATATCCAGCGAAAATTGACGACGACGCCCGGCGGCTGGCAGAGGCTGAGCTTCGACGATCTTGTACGGCCAATCTTGGGTAACATGACAACAGCGATAAGAAATTATATTTTAAAATCGTTCATTAAGTACATCAAATTTGTTAATGAGAATATTAGTAATAGAATCGATGTAGGCGAGCTAAATTTGATTTTAAGTCTAGAAGATTGATATATTTTTTTTTAATATCATGAATATGTTATTTATTGCAAGACCTAAATAAATAAATCCCGGTCTACGGTTTTTCCTAAATTCGTCAAATCCTCCTCGGATATTTTGTTTGTAATTCCAAGTCAAGAAAATGCTAATAGTGTTAACTACCCCATTTCCGGCCTATTGAGCACAACCCGCACTTATGTTTTTATTACTGATGGCATTCAAATTTATTAACCTTTTCGTACGTACCGTAAGATTTGATAAAGAGAAACTAATCGTTGAGATATTGTCAAAAGTCTAGCACTGCTTTTTGACGCCAAACTCAGCCTACGGATTCTATACTCGGCCTAACGCATTGAAACGCCATTGAAACGCCTATGAATTCACTATCGGTCTATCGGATGAAGGTAAAAATAGATTCGGTCAGAGCGCTTCTTTTGTTTTTGGGAATAATGGGTGCAAACCTTCATATCACGCGTTCTCATTGACTTCGTTCGGTAGCTTATTAACTAAAGTATCGTACCAAACGCATAATTGACTTGTTAACTCTGAAATCATGGATTTATTTGAAGTTTTCTACTCGATAGGCCCAAAATGGGCGATTAGGCCGAAGTAGTTCTCTACCCAATCAAAACATATTTTGATATGTTCAGCCAAGGTGTCCTACCCCGTCCCCTGTCATTTACCCCCTGTATTTATTTGTTGGATATTGAAAAATTCAACTGACAATTATTGTCTAAATGAATAAAACTTAAACTAAATAGTTACGGTCAACGGTACGGAAAAGGCCAAGTAACCGATGACGAAACACATCAGCTGATACATTGGAGTCGAACAAATAAAAGAAGTTGTTAAATTGCCGGCGAATCTACTCATGATGAAATAAATAAATTGAAATGCTTAAAACGTGCAATCGCAAAATAGGCACTCAACAAATGGATGGATATTTTTTTTGCACCATCCCTAGATCTCCCGAGTTGTTTTTCACAATCCACAATGACTCACCGGATTCCTTTGCGCATAATACGCACTGTTTCTAGCCTGCACCTGCTGAGCAACGCTCGCTCCAGCGGATCCAGCTGACTGCGGCTGGTAGAATCCAGGGTACGAGTTGAATGCATTGTACAGCCCGAACGGTCCGAACGCACCGAATGGATAGGGTAGGCCTGCATCATGTAGCACCGGTTGCACCACGGGATAGGCTCGGCTCGGGGTCAAATTCTCGTCAGTCGTTATGACTGCATTGTAGACCTTCGGTGTCCTCAGTAGACCACCAAGGGCCGGGCTGGCACAGAACGTTGACACCACCAGCAGTGGTACGAGCACCGTGACCTAGTCAGAGTAGAAATAAAAACAGTGAAGGTAAATAAGTGATAAATCACCCAGGTTGTGATTGAAACAGCAGTGAGTGGAAAACCGGCTTTAAAATCTCAAAACTGATCGATCAACATTGTTGAGCGATGTTTAATTACACTGATTGTCGGTAACAAGCTGGTTAAGTTTGGCTTTAGCAGGGTGATCGACGAGAACTGCGTTATTAGAAGAGAGCAGGATTTTGTGATTCTAAGAGGTTGGCACGAGGCAATCGTCGTTTGGTCCATGACTTATCGGTACCTAAATCGTAATTGACCAGCAAAGTACATTCGATCAAGGACTGCAGGTTTCGATAGATCTGCAAACGGCGTGTTTCAGAGCTGGAACTGAATAGCGTTGATCAGGCAATAAACTAGTGTTATCGATTAATGAATGGCCACGTGAGGTGATTGTTGGTAGAATATCGTGATATACTGTTGGAATCCATATTCTGGTTTTAATTGCTTTTCTCATAATGATCATTGTTTTATAGCTGGGATTAGTTTTGTTTTCGTTTCATGGACTGTTATTTACATTGCCACAAAAACATTAATTAGTGCCAATTAAGATTAAAGGTAAGATTGGTAGTAGTTGCTTTGTTATTGCAATGTTGAATATCCTTCAGTAAATAATGCCTTTGTTTCGAAGTGTTGTATATTTTCAGGGCTGATTGGTCTCCCTAAGAATTAATTTCTCATTTCTTAGCGATTTGATCTTATTCAAATTCTCTTTTTTTTTATTTTAAGCTGAAGTGGATAGATTTCGTGTGTTCGAATTTCGATTTCACTAATTTTAACCAATCAAACTCTTTAGTTTAGAGTAAATAAAAAACATTTTAGACGTTTGTGAACTTAACAGAGTTGGAAGAAAATGGTATACCAATATCAACAAGAAGCTTTAGTGCGATACTTTATTAGCTAGAGAAAGTTCTAAAGAAGATAGATTGATGTAGCGCCGTTAGAGTAAGTATGTGTGAAAATTGAACAGAAGTTGTAATTGAGTGAAGGCCATTAATGCGACAATACTAATCAAGTTCGCATTTCTTTGCCTAGTTCGCAGGATGGGTGAGGGGACTACTGATATCCACAGGCAATAGAGTGCGCGTTTGACTTGCTCTTATACTGTCTTGTGGCTGCAAAATTGTTTTAAATAGACGTTTATCACTACCTAAAACCCCACATTGCCCCCATGGTGTGCTATAATGTAACACTTGTTTTCCCAACTATTGTTTGCTTCTCTCGTCTTGCCCAACGTTGTCATTTCAGAGGGAAGCGTGGTATTGCGTAGTCATATTAACAAATAAAATGATTTACAAATCTTGAATGTGGATAGGTTTGATATTAGACTCACGATGTTCTGCTCAGTAAGCAAAAACGGTCGCTCTAAGGCCACCGAGCCCTTCATATCCGAAAACGACGATAAGTTTCGCAAAATATACGATAGACAAGTGATTTTACCATAAATCTCTTTAATATTAATGTTCCTGGGACCGCGTTTTTCTGCTCGGTAAGCAAGCCTCTGCAAGCAACGATCTTCCAAATCCGAAAACTAAATGCTACGAAAAAGCACTTAGGCCTTCATTAAGTTCCACTTTCACGCGACGCTATCTTCGATATGAAATACACAATATAAAAATTCATAACTACCCGAAGCTACCCACTACTAACAAGGCACAAAAAAGGTTCAAATGCGTTCCATTGTTTACTGAAAACTCCTCTTCCTCTCCTGTTCAGGAATCTTCCATTTGATCTACCAGCGTTACTCGAATGAAGATAAAAATTAATAAAAAGGAACGAGCTCACCAAGTTTAGCGAATTGAACCTAAAGGTAGCATGAGATATGTTGATGTAGAAGTTCAAATTGTAGACGGTCCGCTTGAAGAAGACCAACCTGATTTAGTCCAGTTTGTGGTAGAGTTTGCTGCGCACTGCCTTCTAAAAGCATGTGTATCCTTTTAGAGAAACTTATCAATTTCGCGAGATTTGTAACGCTGTTTGAGCTCCTCCAGGCTAAACCGCAGCTGTAGTATAAAAAAATTGTCACAGCAGGACCGTGAACAAGAAAGCTTCGATAAGGTGCCATCACCGGCTCCTCCGCGCCTTCGGTTATTTGTTGTCACTATTTTTAAAACGTATCACATATCATCATCACCAGCATCAGATCTGCATCATCATAAAAAATAAAACACTGCAACTGGTGCCTCTGCTTCGGCTACTAGCTTGAACCCTACTGGTAAATTACCAGTGGTAATTCACTTCTCACTACTAGTGAGATTAATCTTAAGCACTCTGCGGCGATGATGCTTTGAGCCAATCTAAACAAAACAACAATCGAGCACTGATCTCTCAAGACTACAAATAGCCTATGTAAAGTCTGTTCCAGTTAGTATTTGGCCGCTTCTTTTTTATTAGTATAGCGTCTCTAGTTGTCGTAGCAAGAAACTATTGATAGAAGTTCTCGAAGATGGAACGTGACAGACGTGAACAAATTCTGCACACTCACGTGCAAAATCCAACGAGGTCAGGAGGAATAATTGCAAGGGCTCTCAAATTTCCAAAATCGACTGTAAATACCGTGCTTAAACGTTACCGGGAAACACTAACGTTGGATCGTGCAAAACAAAGCAAACGTAGAAGTGGAACATATGACCGAAAACTACGAGCGAAGGTCATAAGGGCAATCCAAAAGAATCCTGGGATCACCGGTCGTGATTTGGCGAAAAGGTTCAGTGCGGCACACAGTACAGTTCGGCGACTGTATGTGAGAATTTTTCCGGTCGTACCATGCCAGCAAACATCCCAACAGAACGCTGAAACAAAACCTGGTTGCCAAAAACCGTGCAAGGAAGCTGTAAAGTTCTGACAGCAAGTTCTGACCAAATATAACGGATGTATTTTGATGGACGATGAAACCTACGTAAAAATGGACTTTGGACAAATCCCGGGCCAAAAAACGTACGGGGGTTGCTCCGGATAAATTCAAATTTGTCTTTGCAGATAAATTCGCTCGCAAGTTGATGATTTGTGCAAGGCATCAGCAGTTGCGGAAAGAAAACAAAGGTTTTCATCACTGGAGCGACTATAAATGGACAAGGAGTGTCTCCAGAACATAATTTTGCCATTCATTAAATCACACGAAAGTCCCGTAAAGTTCTGGCTTAACTTAGCCAGCTGCCATTACAGCCGCGATGTCATAGAATGGTATAAGCAGAATAATGTCGATTTTATTCAGAAAAGTATCAATCCACCAAAATTTCCAAATTTTCGTACCATTGAAAATTTTTAGGCAATTATCAAGCGTAAATTGAAGAAATGGGGAAAATCAATCAAAACACCATCTGATTTGGAGAAGTGGTGGAAAAGGATGGTAGATGAGGTTGACAGTACTACTGTGCAAGACATGCTGAGAGGAACTCCGCGAAAAGTTCGAAAATTCATCCGAAAAGCTGACGAATAATTTTTGTTGTATGTTTCCCTTAAATAAAAATCCTACAAAATGATACCTTTAGCGTTTTTGTACTTTATTTCCCCTTGGAGAAATTACCTATTTTGTGCGGCCAAATTCTAAATGGAACCGACTTTATGAAAAACTATGAAGACAGAGCCGTCGAAAGGCATGTTTTAGAGAAAAACTTCAATTGTAACCTAAACCGGCGGAATCCTGCTGGTCAAGGTGTGGCAAATTCGGTCAAGGGTCCATTTCAAGACTGCAAATATTATTATTATTATTTAGCTTTATTAAGGAGGCTTTCAGCCTTGGGCTGGTTCGCCTCCACCAAGACTGCAAATAGCCTGTGCATGAAAAACCATAAATATTGAGCCGTCATGGCATGTTTTGGTGAAAAACTCCCCTACTAAAGGTTCCCGGTGGCCCCGAAACGCCCAATATGGTCAAAGATCCATGGCGTGAATATACATAATCTATGCAAGAGTAGCCATTAAGAAAGAGCTGTCGATCGGCATGGTTAGGTGCTTGTATGTTTAGTTCTTTATAGTGGTTGGGTACCCGAGCAAAGTTAGAGATCAAATTGAGATCAGAATTTGCTGTTATGATGTAACTTATTTTGAATACTCCATTTGATCTCATTTTGGTTGCCTTAACGGTTAACACATAAAAAATGAGAGCAAAATTTTACACTGTTGAATCAAACGGAAAACTAATTCTGCTTTCAATGAAATCAATTTGATTGATGATTTTGCATTCATAATGTTTGACTGAATACGGGCCTGTCGTAAATGGTTAGCATCCATGCTTCTCACGCTGAAAGATTTGAGCTCAAATGTCACCTCGGGCTGGTCACGAATGACCTAAAATGTGTTAAACAAAACAAATCAACAATAATCGTTAGTTCAACGACAGATGAACTTAAATAACATTTTAAACTAGAAATTAACAGCAGAACTTCAAGTTAAGTTGCTTTGATTTAAAAAGTCTTGACTGCATAATGAAAGCACAATATGATATCAGACTTCTGTCGCGACAATTGAAATCAAAATGAGTTTTCATTATGAACTGCAAACTTTAATATAGTTTTGCTTTCATTTTGTTAACCGACTTTGCTCGGGTAGCTGCGCCGCCTCATACATCATTCTAGAGATGTTCAAACAATGTATTTCCTTCCAAATCGGAGTGACGGTCTGATAAGTGTAGCCCAGTGGCAGGCGCGTAGGCAACATGTCAACGATTTGAGCCCGGGACATGCTGCCTACTGTCAAACGCTGCTGTTGGTATAGGCCTTGTCACTGGCCTGGATAAGTGTGACCAAGAAGAGTCACTCCACTCGGCGATCAAGTGTGCTGTGCGCGCTGCATACAGACGTCAACAGTGACGCGTGGGGTTGAATTTGGCAGCCCTAAGTATGCACCTTTAGAATTGATGAAACGATCCATAAAATATAGAAAAACGTTCCTTAAAAAACATCCAAATGATCCATAAAACACCGTAGGAAATCTCTTAAAAAGTGTGAATGATCATTAAAA